CAAGAGCATCGAAATTCAAAATCTCCTTTTTTTTCTGAAAATTTTTGTACGAAAGTCGTAATAGTAGCCCCTTCATAATACAAGCCCCCCCTAAAAATTTTGAACACTTGGACAGTTTAGAAGCCCCAGAGGCTTCTATTATGGGGGGGGTTAGTCCAACTACTTGGCTCGAAGTACGTTCCCTAGGGACAATTCAACGAAAGATTATTTAAACTATACGATGAATTATGAGAATTGCATTCCATCTACTTCATACTTGGAAATCCATTGCTCATTCTATCCACTAATCCGGATGATAAAATTTTTACTCTCTCTCAAAATGCTAAATGACGCTCGTGCGTTCCTTAAGACGATCACCTGCTTTTTGTCATTATTCGATAATATAATATCATCGACTTCAACATTTTCACGTTGGTTGTGGCAGAAAAAATCATTTCGATCCAATCACGTTGAACAAAAAATTGCACGTACTCGTAAACTAACTCAATACCAAAGCTAATGGGTCAATCTCGATTGAGCAACCATCTACAATATCAGATCTTTCTTATATTGATTGCAGCTCTCAATGCCCACTCCGATAGGTTCAAGTTGACTGTGGCGCCATCTACCAACGCCACTTTTCCTAGTATCCTATGATACCCTGTATCTTTTTAACGGCCCAGTCCATTATTTACAGATACCGACGCTGATATTTTGTGTAACTCCTACCTTGAATTACTCTGAAAGAGGAAGAACAGAGAGTGAAAGTTTGTACGGGAGATTATGCTGGAAATCTGAAAATTTTATTCACCCTCCCTCCCTAACGCTTATGGACGTACGCGACCCACAGAAATCTACGCTTCAGTTATTTTATAAGTTTGATTTCCTTGCTTACTCTTTTTTTGCAGGGCATAATGGTCTACAGGTAAATGAAGCAAGGAATACGTACACACGAGAAGAAAAAAAAATGCTATGGCCGTTGAAGAAGTAAGAAGAAAAGTCATATAAATATGAATGGTAGATGTTACAAGCATATTTATACCAAATTGTCAACCAAAGCTACCAGCATTAAAGATGCGGGAGGCCGTAAACAATTGAAAAGCGTCGGGCAAACTCGGGTCTCAACATTTCGTCGTTGGGCTGGGTTGGGTCGAACTCAAAAATTTTTAAGATTGACGGCCGGACTTGGGTCTCAAGTTTTCTTGGCCGTGCTAGAAAGTGTTGGCCCGTGCCGATCTCTGGTATAGATTTTTCGTATCACTACGAACGTGGTACCTCTACATGACGCACTTCATTATTTGAAAGAATAAATAAGTTTGAAAGGCTATTTATCTGAACATTTCTACGGTATGCTGACCTTTTCCAACATATATAGTTCCATAACCGAGAATCACGACAGTTCTGAGACCTGCCATTTAGTTAAGCACACTTTTGTTCACAAAGCGAGACAGTCGCGAGCTTGTCTTTTCGTACGAAAGATATAAGAATAAGAAATAGCACAAAACGTAACTGAATCGCGTTTTTGCCCTATTTACGACTTACGAGAAAAGGTCCCCAAGTGCGCAATCGCTTTTTTTTCAGAATTTAATGGAGAATAGGTAATCGACTATGCTTAATCCAAATACGACATCCGTTCAGGCCCTTAGGCCTCCAGTGACCGAATTTCTACAAAACCAGTTTTTCAGAAACTTAAAAAATAGCAAAAGCTTTTCTTAATGAGGTGTAATTGTAGCCCGCAAATTTCTGATTAAAATGAGACATCTCCCAGCTCTGCATGACCTTCCTTTGCAAAGTTATAGAATTTACAAGAAAAACCCTAAATTAACTTCTTCTTATTTCTGTTGCTTTGAGCTGACAATGAACAACTTAGGGCTTTTCTTGTAAATTTTACAATTTTGCAAAAAAAGGTCATGCAGAGCTGGGAGATGTCTCATTTTAATCAGAAATTTGCGGGCTACAATTTTGCCTTATTAAGAAAGACTTTTGTTATTCTTTAGAGTTTCTGAAAAACTGGTTTTCTAGAAATCCGGTCTCTGGAGGCCTAAGGACCCACACGGATGTTATATTCGGATTCAGCTTACTCGATTATTAAGTCGATCAACTAAATTTTGAGAAAAAAGCGATTAGGGATCTTTCCTCGTTATTCTATTGTGAAAGTTGACTTTTACCATTATCTATGCACGCAATTTATTATGTATGTACGTCACATTAAATTGTATCTTACAAGAGAACTACCTTAACTATCGAAGCGTTTTTTCTTTATTCATTCCACATATATGGTTGTAGAAAGCAAAAGAAAGATTAACATAAATTGCTAAGTAAATATTGTAGTCACATCCCTCATCACTTGCGTTACATCTTACATGGTTAGGTATGAGTACGTTTATATTATATGTAGCCTTATTCATTTGTTCTTCAGCTCAAAAAATATTTAATATTAAAGATTACGGGGCGGAAGGTGACGGTAAAACAGACAATACTGAGGCAATTACGACAGCAATTTTAGCTGCTTCCCAACAATCGAGTGGTGGTTATGTTTACGTGCCAGCCGGAGATTTTCTGAGTGGTGCACTCAATTTGACATCGAATGTTTATCTATATCTCGACCACAATTCTATTTTACGTGTCTCTGATGATCCGGCTCTCTACTTTTGTGTACCCAGTACAACAACGGATACCGGTCCGTGTGACTTTCCGTTTCTTTTTCTCTCGAAATTACAACATTCTGGTATATTAGGATATGGCATGATTGATGCTGGTGCAAATAGCCCGCCTGGACATTTGGTTAGGGAATATGATAGCAGTACCAACATGTTGTTACCATTAGAATGGAAACTTCCGCGATGCACCTACTTCAGTTGTCGTCCAAAGCTGATGGTCATTAAGGATAGTTCATTTGTCTCTCTCGCCAATTTGACGATAACCAATTCACCGCTGTGGACAATCACGGCCGTTGAAAGTGAATACATCATCATTGATTCGGTTACCATTCTCGGCGATAGACGTTGGCCAAATAACGATGGTATTGACTTGATCAATTCCAGACATGTCCTTATCAGGAACACCACTATTTCAACGGGTGACGATTGTATCGCTATTGTTTCTCATGATTCAAGCGCGATCTTTAATATTACAGTAGAAAATTGTAAACTAACGAGTACATCAGCTGCTATTAAAATTAGTGCCTTTGAACAAAACGCAACGGGAAATATATACGATTTAAATTTTCGAAACATTCAAATAACAGATACAAATCGTGGTGTTTGCATAGCACCGCGATGGGGAAGTGGTACACTTTCAAACATGACATTCACTAATTTAACAATGGAAACACACTATTATTCTACAGCGTGGTGGGGCACAGCAGAACCAATTTATGTCACAGCATTATCCATGTCAGAGACGCGTTCATGGAAAGGTCAAGTAAAAAACATTCATTTTGAAAATATTAGTGCTCGAAGTGAACAAGGCGCAATACTAGTGGGAAATACGAGTATCCTTCAGAATATCACATTGCGAAATATACAACTGACTATAGATCAGTTCAGCAATTTAAGCCATCCTGCTCACGACTATAAACCATCAATCGAACCACAATTTACTTATGCACCTATTGATGGTATTTACATGCAAAATAGTTCCCAGATTCTGCTAGACAATGTTAACATTAAGTATGCATTACCAATCCAAGAGTATTATGGAATATGTTTAAATGCGTCCAATATTCAAGATCTGAAAAACGTTAATTTTGTATGTACAGATCCAACACTTACCAACATGGCACACACAACACAGAAAAACTCGATTCAGTTACGTTTTGTGCTATTTCTTATTCTTATATCTTTCGTACGAAAAGACAAGCTCGCGACTGTCACGAGGTACCACGTTCGTAGTGATACGAAAAATCTATACCAGAGATCGGCAGGGGCCAACACTTTCTAGCACGACCAAGAAAACTTGAGACCCAAGTCCGGCCGTCAATCTTAAAAATTTTTGAGTTCGACCCAACCCAGCCCAACGACGAAATGTTGAGACCCGAGTTTGCCCGACGCTTTTCAATTGTTTGCGGCTTTCAAGAATAAATAAGTTTGAAAGGTCATTCATCCTAAAATTTCTACGGTACGGTACGGTGAGTTTTTGCAACATAAATACTTCCCAACCGAGACAAAATAAAATAAATTTTTCTTTACATTTAGTAGAGCAAACATTTCTCCACGAAATAAAAATAGAAAGATTATATATCATGAAACATACCAGAGCTATACAGTTTTTTTGAAACATGCCTCATCGCGTAATTTTAAGGACCGGTAATCTCCGAAGTTGCGTGAACATTCAACAAAACAATTAGAGAAATGTTAATAGATTTCCTCTACAAACCGACTAATGTTGAGAGTGCATATGGACGGATTCTCTTTAAAAGGGATTGTTGCATCGGTATTACAATGCATTTGCTTTTACACAGTCTGACAGTGAGAGAGGAGATGCGTGCAGGTTTTCTCATGGCTTTTCGTACCAGTGTAGGCGACGCGCCTACATTTCTTGTGTCGTCACCAACTTATTTTTATGTACTAAGAAGGGACCAAAGAAGATTTTTTTTGAAAAGAAAAAAAGTGAAATAAAATATAACAAAAAACCGCACTCGGGGTAAGTATCAATGTCAACAACACACATAATTTTGCCACTGTGTGAAATTGGATGGATAACCATTAACCTAGCAAAAGTACTGTAATTTTGACATTGAGTAACGTATTGATCCATGTTACTCAGCGATATGCTTATAGTGCAAACCATAAGCATGCATGGTAACAATTATTAGATTATATAGCAAACACTTCAAAATCAAGAATGTATATGATATTTACGCTTTGCTCCATTAGCAACACAATTTCCATTCAAAGCACTACAATAGTTTCTTTTTCTTGATACTGTTTGTTTGAATAATTCTAAAGTAAATCAAAGTCAATGGCAAATTCTTATTTTTGAACACGGGTTGAGAAAGTTTACAAGTGAAGTTTTGTTTCGATAGAGCTCATCCTACTGACTAGTGTTGGATTCAATAGCCTGGCATGTCTGAAGATTGACCAAAATAATCGAATTCGTGTTTTTCACTTCTCACAAGCTAATCAGCATCTCGACTAAGAACGTTTATTTACTCTAGTCAATAGTGCATAAAAAAAATGCCACAAGACGAGATAAAAAGAATTGCAGTAGAAATTGTGATCATTGTGAACTTTCCGATATATTGTGGTTTGTACACTCTAAAAAAAAATGCGACTTCTAAAAAGACACATAAGTCGGATCCCAAAAAGCCGCATTTTAGTGTCTCCTTTGAAGACACATGATGCGACTTTAGCTGGTAGCCACTTTATAGTGTTTTTGCTCTAGTCGCATTAAAGACATGTAAGTCGGATCCCATTTAGTCGTATTTTAGCGACTCTTTTGAAGTCGCTTTGATGTGTCTTCTGGAGAAAAAGCTTTTCGTTCCTGCCAAGGACTGAACTCGGTCTGTTCGCTTACGGGACGAATGTGTTCACCACTGAACCACACAGGCACATTAGTTATTAGTCTTATTAGCCTCTTACGTTGACATTTCGTGTGAGACTTTAATTAAAAACTCAGAGACACTCAGATGTGACACAATGATGTGACTACTAAGCGTCTTTCTCGTTCACATGTCTTATATGCGACTCTAATGTGACTTCTATATGCCTGTCGGGTGACACATTGAAGACATATAGAAGACACCTACTATTTTGAAGTCGCTCTAGTCACATACAAGACACTTTTTCTGGGCAGACACATCGCTGAAGTCGCAATTGTTTTAGAGTGTACGACAGATGATCAGATATTTCGATTTAACGTGCACTTCTGCTCTTTAACATTTTAAAGATCAACGATGATACATTATGCTCGTTCTATGCAACTACTTTTCTCAGTTGTTCTGGCCACCTTATCGATGTATGACAAAAGAAAAAGATGAAAGAACAAAGTCTTTTTCTCTTGAGTAGGAATTGATTTCTAAAAGAGTTTTCGTTCATTGCATCCTTCCTCACTTTTTCATACCATCATGAATTTCAAGGACTAATAATTTATTACAAGTATGACAAACGTGTTTTACGCACAGTTTTCATCGCTATTTGTACTGCTAAATCAAGAAGGATTGCAATATTAAATATTGCATGGTGTATACACAGAATATGTCTTACCATGCAAATAAAACTCAGCGGGACCAGAAGATGAGTATTGAAATCTGCTACTCTGTATTACAGTTGAAGTTGAAGTTTTTTCAGAACACAAAACAGTCGATGAAAACAGTATAATAGTTTCTGTTGAAGCAATAAAGGAAATTTACGGCTAATAGATTAAGAGCTGTTTACTAAAGTAAGTATTCATTTTTAAAACATTCACATTGACATATTGACTTAACAGTCGCCGGGCAATTTTGATTTGATTTTAAAAATTTCCCTCCCACAGTGTGCATTTCGGTGAAGATTAAGTGGAGAATGAAAAGTGAGATATTTTTTAATCTCAGTAGGAGGTACAAACACTTATGGTGTGTACAATATGAAAAAAGAAAAATTGCTCTAATGTGTAACAGCAGTCAAAAATTTTTTTTTCGAATTACTAACGAAATGCTGGACGACAACTACTCTACAGTTGTAAAAAGTCTACCTATTTTTTTATATGAAATGATTATTAAGTTTGATACATAAACTTCTATAGTGAGTGCATGCACCTTCTCCTTGGCGTTCAGATATAGGTTTTTGAAAAGACTAAAGACTTTTTCCTCTAATTCTAGTGAAATTTTTTCTTGAACCAATAGAAGATTCAAAGTCAACACCTGAGATCGGATTGAAGCCAGTACGAGAAAATGTGTTTCGACTAAAACAAACGACAACTGAAATGTATCGAGAATGATAATTATCTATTAAAAGACTTTTGACCGTCTGCTATGCTATAAATGCTACAATAAATTCTTTGTGTTCAATTTTTAAAGAAACTTATGCAGGAAAAACAACAGCCAGAAGTGTCACTTTCAGCAAACAGCACAAGTTTGTTGTTGTATGCATATTGACACATTTACAAACCTATATTCATCGCCAGATTACATGCTACAGAGCTCAGATTATTCAATGTTGTTTTCAAATGAGAAAATATTTAAATATTTTTCTAAACCAGTTTTAGAAATGATGACGTTTCAAGTTTGACCTACGTTGATTCCACAACAAACCGAGCATTAGATGATCTGTCGGTAAATTCACTAACAAACTTTTAATTCGAGGCTATTCTCGAAACATTCGTATTAACTACCCTACAACCTTACTTCTTCTCTTTCACACCAAAACCGTGATGCCATAAAAGAAGCTACTTATGTTACAATCACACGTCCAGCTGACTTTTAGACTCGCTACTGTCAAACTGTTTACATGCTGTTTGATTGTTTTCGTGTTGGAAAATGGGATGCTTCGCTGATGAAGTCTTAATTTTCACTGTAACATAGTCGCATCCATATTTGAATGTTGACTCATGTATAAAACCATACCTTTTTTAAATACGTGTGTTCTATTATGCGTTCCAATTGAATAAACTTGACTGTGCGACATCCCATTTCTCGGTAATTGACCCTAAGATTTAAATCCACAAAACAAATTAATGATTTTTATAGACAGACAGATTATGAGTGTACCTTCCTTCGATGGGAAAATGTGGTTTTGATTAATACCCAGATCACAATTTTATTTCTCGTGCAATAATAAAATATGTACAATGTACAGAACAACAGTATATTTACAGTGTGAGCCAAAAATTATTTGTACGATTAGTGTTTTCTTATAATTCTGTGTCGCCTTTTGCATCTAGACTTATGGCTATAACACTACAGCGGTCTCTGTTTTTTTGGCCAAAATTATTTGTACGTCTGATAAAAATCTTTTTTACGCTGTGTAAGCACCGACAAAATATGAATACATCAATAGATAGAAGAGAGCGCGGGCTACGTTTTGATAAAAAAATAACTTTGAAAAGCTTTTTTCTTAGAGTGAAAACGTGACTTTAAGCCATAAGTGTCATACTCTTCAGTGTGACTTTTCATCTCAAGTATGAGTGACTGAAAACAAAATTCTAATTAAGCCATTTGAAAGAGCGTCCAGAACTGAGTAAGATAAATAGTGTGGAAGTTAAGTGAGAGAATTTGATCCATCTTTTAATATTTTGGATCATGAGGCTATTTTTGAAGTATCTTTTCTGCACGGGAGGGTGAACATTTTTTGGATATCTTTGGGTCATTATGTAGTCAAGTAGTTACTGTATATGAGCATAAAAAGAGAAATTTACACTTTTAAGTTCACAGGAAAAACGGGTTTTTGAAGATCAAAACCGGCTTTTCACCTATAAGAAACATTTTTCATCAAAAATTAACGTCATATTCGTGCTCAGCGTCAAAAACTGCGTTTAGTGCTGTGTCACTGGAAGTTTAGCAAAACTTCTCCTTTCGCAAAAATTTTGCTTGTCAAAAATGCCGTTGTCAGGTGTTTAGTGTCTATCACAAAAACAACGTCTTCAGACGTTATTTTCAAAATGAAAGGAGAAGTTTTGCTAAACTTCAAGTGACACATGATATTTTTTTACCAAAACGTAGCCTGCGCTCTCTTCTATCTATTGATGTATTCATATTTTGTCGGTGCTTACACAGCGTAAAAAAGATTTTTATCAGACGTACAAATAATTTTGGCAAAAAAAACAGAGACCGCTGTAGTGTTATAGCCATAAGTCTAGAAGCAAAAGGCCTAGTGATTGCTAAATTTTATCATAGAGACGGAGCCAGCCGGCAATCTCCCAGCAGTTTCACAATTTAAAAAAACACCTTGGTCACAGAATTATGAGCAAACACTAATCGTACAAATAATTTTGGTTCCCACTGTACAATTAAAAAACTGTGCTAACTTTCTTCGGACGTCCTTTCCTTCTACGTTTCCTGACGGTTTTATCATTATCGTGATAAGTTCAATGATTTCCTGTATGGCAAGAATTCTGTTCATTGGCAGTGCCATTATAGTTCAGTATATACCCAGTTGATATGAAACTCGTGTGAACATTCGATTGGATTGGATAGATGATGTAGCTTGTATCAAGATAGTGCTAAAATCATTAGGACACGTAAAGGGAAAAGACGTCCTAAGAAAGTTAGCACAGCTTTTTAATTGTAAACATATTGCTTTTCTTACCTTGTCAATAGTTTAGTATTGCGTGAGAAATGAAATTGTGATCTGGGTATTAATCAAAACCACATTTTCCCATCGAAGGAAGGTACACTCATAATCTGTCTGTCTATAAAAATCATTAATTTGTTTTGTGGATTTAAATCTTAGGGT